TGCATACCTTTCTTAATTTTAAACCATTCAGTTTCCCATGTTCTGTTTGAACAACTTCCTCTTGGTCTATGTACAGTTTCCTCATGAGCACAATTAAGTGTTCCAGAACACATATACTTCTCAATGTTGTCCATACCTTGCATTGATCCACACAATCGAAGGCCTTTGTATAGTCACTAAAGCACAAGGAAAACATCTTTCTGGTATTCTCTGCTTTCAGCCAAGATCCATCGGACATCAGCAATGCTATCCCTTGTTCCACGGCCTCTTCTGAATCTGGCTTGAGCCTCTGGAAGTTCTCTGTCAATGTATGCTTGCAGCTGTTTCTGTATTTCCTTTAGTAAAACTTTATTTGCATGGGATATCAATGATATTGTTCGATGATATCTGCATTCCGTTGGGTCACCTTTCTTTGGAATGGACACAAATATGGGTCTCTTCCAATCAGTTGTCTAGATAGTTGTCTCCCAAATTAGTTTACACAAATAAAGCCACTATGAGTTTCTAGTGATCTTCTCTCAAGCCATAAGCTATGATATGAGCTGCTGGTACATCAAGTGAAAGTAGTGCCTCTATAAGAGGGGGCTTCAAAAATTTCTTGGAAAAAATGCATTATCTTTTAATTACATTTTTCTTCAAACTGTCTGAAGCCCCTTCATATGCATACATATACCCTGTGGTTCTTATTTTCATTCTACCTTTCTTCCCATCCCTTCTGAACTTTGTCCTTAGGTAAGCGTTGGCCTTTTGATTTTGAACGGTTGATCATTCCACGGTGAACATACCCCACCATGTTGTTGTCTCCCTATATATCTATTTACTGCAAGGCTAAAAATTGTACCACAAGGGTGAGTTCTGTTCCAGACCTGAATGGTGGCTGAGAGTTATAGTCTCAGGTTCCTCCAGTCTCTTTCTGACCAGTAACTCTGATCTGTTTATAATCTTGGGTTTCATTGGACATTGTCTCCTACTCTATGTGGGACCTTACAATACCTTTCAGAGCAGTTAGTAGTGGTAGCTAGGCATCATCTAGTTCTCTGGTCTGAGTAGTGAAGACTGACGTTCGCATGTTCCATTAGTCAATTGGACTAAAATGATTCTAAGCCATCTTCAATTTCCATCACTGTCCTTTCCTCCACACATGGAAAGACCAATGCTTGCACGTAAAATGGCTGCTCAGAAAATTTCCATTATCTTTTAAATCCATTTTTCTACAATTTTTTTTGATGAACCCTCATATATAAAACACACACTCGTTGTTGTTAGGTGTCG